TAAATGTTAAACTCGTTAATATGAGGCAGATAACAACGACGTGCATACTTGTCACGATGATGGTTGCTGACATTTATCGAGTGTATACTATGGGTCAGACACTATTTTAAGCACTTCATATGTCTTAATTCATTTAATCCTAACCACCCTGTGAGGAAGACACTATTCTTAGCCACATTTTACAGATGAGAAAGTCCGAGGCCTGGGAATGTTCAGGAACTTAACAAAGGACATGCAGCTCGTAGGTGGCAGAGCTGAGAATCGAACTCAGAGAATCAGTCTACACGGCCCATACTCTTACCTGGATGTGCCTCTTAGACATCTGCAGTTGCATTGGCCTCTTTCCTCCACCACCTGTACCTGAGGTGGGTCCCTGGGCTTGGTGCAGTTACTCGCATCTTTCCACCCTCCGTCCTCCCCCCACTCCCCCTCCTACACCTACCAGCGGTGTCCGTGGGCGTCAGCTGATGCCTTTCCCCCACCCTTCAGTCTCCCGCGCTCCCCACGTCTCGGCCACTAGAGGGCGCGAGGAGCAGAGACTCGGGGACAGCGGAACAGTCCCGCTGGGGCTGGGAAAGGAAAGGTCACGCGCAGAGGCTCAGAGGAGGGGAGGCAGTGGGAGGGGCACTGGTTCTCGGGGTCTGGGGACAGCGAGAAGGGAAGGAGAGCACCAGTCAGTGAAGTGAATTTGAGCTCAGACAGGGCTAGCAACAGGCGGGCAGCTTCTCCCCGGAGAGCCCGTCTTACGTAATTATTTCCCTATCCCCACAAAGGGAGTGGGGAAGTCGGGGAGGCCAGAGGGCGGCGAGGTGATGGGTAGGGAAACTGACCCCCAGCCCCTCCGTGCTCCCCACAAGCTAACCCTACACTACTGCAGCTGGTTCCTCCAGAGCCGGGGGCTTTGAGAAGGCTCTACTGTCCCAGCCCACCCCCTGCTCCCCAGCAGCAAATCTTCCCTACTCCTGCCAGATGCTTCAAATTCCGACAAGGAAGCATCTGGGTCTCTTACTCAAGCTGGAGATCTCAGCAGTGGACAGATTAGAACGAATGAAGGGTCAGAACCTGTCTGTTTCCGTAATGGGGTGAGATTTAGATGACAGGGAGGTTGGGGGGGGGGGAGATGGGGGGGGCATCAGGAGAAAATTTTAATGGTTCTCCACTCCGTTTGATGTAACCTCCTATTTACTGATGACAAATTTCCTGTTTTTAAGAGCAAAATACTAATTAGGATGCATCATCAAATAAATGATATTGCTTTTAAATTACGACTCAGCTGTGAGCGTGGAGATTTGTGTTGTTGTTATCCTGGGGGTCTTGCACTTTACCTGTCACTCCATAAATTGTTCAATTGAAATAGGAATTTTATTAATGGACCATTTTCATTCTTTAGGTAAAGCTTTGCCTATTACATCATGTTGATAGCATGTGCACTCTTCCTTCATGAGGAGGATGCTTTATGAACCAGCTCATCTAATCCCAGAGCTCTGTCCGATTTACCTAAAATATTCCAGGACCCGGTGGCCCTAAGAGGCAGCTGTGGTGATGTGGACAGAGCACTGGGCTGGGAATCAGAGACCTCAATTTTCATTCAAGATCTCTCTTCCTTGTGTGCACTACTAGGCCAGTCACTTCTCTGAGCCATCAATTTCTTCATCTGTAAAAGGGCCATTCCTGATTTTATAAAAGCAAGACTGTGCTGAGGATTACAAGGTGGACATTGGTTGTCAGGCAAAGCTCAGACTTTAGATTAATCTAACCCCTCTTCTCTGCTCCTTTGTGGTTGTTGAACATGCTGGAGCAAGCTGCAGATGCGTGCAGATCCATGCAGCTGCAGACTTCTGGAATCTAATGTCGTCTAGACCCATGGTTCTCTCCATTTGCAGAGCCTATGGCATATTCTTTTTTCGTGCTCATCTCACTTTCCTACAGTGGTTATTTCAACCTTGGCCGTATTTAAAGTTCTCAATATCCCTTCCCTCTAAGGATTAGTTTTGTTTTCAATTATACAGAAAACAAAAACAAAAACAAAAACCAAAGCTATAGAAAAAAAGAATCTACAGCATGTTGTCAATTCTTGAAGGAAAAAGGCATAGAAAAAAGACGAGTGAAATATGCCAGTGTAAGCAGTGAAATTTTGTTCCTTCTCTACTTTTTGATGCTTTTCAAATGTTCTGTTATAACATGTATTAAGTCATGTTTCCAAAATAACAGAAAAATAACAAAACAGAGAAGCTACCGTTTATGGAGCTATCACCCACTGATCGACTTATCCCTTACTCCCACTCCCGTTGTATTACCAGCCCAGATGAAGGGGTCTCTCTCCCTCTCCCTACCCAGGGCTAACCTGATCATCTGTGCTATTACTTCCATATTCTCCTGACTTTTCAAAGATCTTGCATTGGCATTAGGTAAACTTTTCCCTCCACATTCAACCTCCCATTCCTTGCTGGTCTATTTTTGTTGTCAGTGTATAAATATGCTTTATAAAAGTCCTCTCCATATCCTAGCAAACAAACAAAACTCCCCAAGCCCCAACTTTACCATGGCCCCACTCTAACTCTAGACCCAGACCCCCTTTTCCTTTTACAGCCAAAGTTCTAGAAAGAGTCTGAATTCCAATCTCTAAATCTTCATGACCCATTACATTCTGGCTTCTGCCTTCAGGACCCCCTTAGCATTGCTCTTGCCAAGATCTCCAGTGATGTGGGTGTCTTATTTCAGTCTTTATCTTGCTGGACTTCCCTGCGGCACGTGACACGGTTGTCCATTTTCTCCTTGAGACTCTCTTTCCTTGGTTTCTGTGGCACAACTGTAATGACAATAACTACAATGTATATTGTGTACAGTATACAACATACTCTGTCTACTTACATATAAGGTCTGTAATCTTCATTCTAACATGGAAGGTAGACAGCTCCGTGATAGAGAGTTCTGGTCTAGAGAGTTGAGGAAGCTCGTGTATGATCATATGGCTCCCAAAGATGGAGTGAGGATTTGATCTCTGGTCTTTCTGAGTCCAAAGCCCAAGTTTTTCCCCCTGAAGACATTTATCTTTCCCAGATTTCCTCTGGCCTCTGTGGCTGCTCGTTTCTGGCTTCCTCTGCGGGCTCATCTTTTTATGCCAGCCCGTGAACAGTGGTGCTCTCTTGAGACTCTGGTTTTGGCCCTTTACTCTTCTCACTTTGTTCAGTATTGTTGGAACATCCTCTCTATGCCACGAATTCCGCTACAGGCTGTAAATGCCCAGCCCAGCTTTTCCTGAGCTTGCGACCCACAGGTGCAACTGTGCGAGGCATTTCTACCTGATTTTCCTGCAGGCCCTTCACTCAACGTGTCTACCACGGAGCTCATGAGCTGCTCCCCCAACTCCTTTCCTTCCCGTATTCTGGATCATTACCACCATCTGGGTGTCATGCGGTCATTCCTCTCTCCCTATCCTCCTTAGCTAACTTATTGTGCTGGTGGTGTAGAGCCTTACTGTGGCTCCTGGACCTTTGCAGTAACCCTCCTGACCACTTCTCTGACTCTAGTTTTGACTCCATCTAGGCCATCTTCCATCTCACTGCACACTCCCAATAGTTTGGACTGCTCTGAATCCTCAATTCTGTTATCTCACGCCTCTTTGCACATATTTCCTTTGTGTAGGATATTCTCTCTGTGCTGGTGCATTGGACAGATTCTGTCTCTTCTTTGAAATCCCAAAGATTCTGTCTCATCTGTTGAGACATCTGACAGCTCAAATACTGTCGCTTCTGTGAAACCCTCCCCGATTTCTCCCAGAGAAGACTCAAGTGCTTCCTTTGTGTAATTATTTTATTCTTCTCTAATTTGTTTTGTTTGTGTATCTTTTAGATTGTAAGGTTCTTGGGGCAGGCACTAAGACTATTAAAATTTTTTTTTTTTTTCCTGAGAAATATAATGCGCCCAGAAGTGCATTAAACAAAATTTAGAGATAATGAATAATCATCAAGTGAACACTTGTGTTACTATTACCCAGGTTGTGGAATGGAGTATTTGCAGTACTTCAGAAGCCCCTTGATCTTTTCCTGATCCCAGCCATCTCCCGCACTATCTTGGCTTTTATGGCAATTACTTCCTGGGTTTTCTTCATAGTTGTACCGCCTATATATGCATTCCTAAACAATATCGTTTAGTTTTACCTATTCTTGAACTTTCTACAAATGCAGTCTAGTCATGTGTTCTGTTGTGTTTTGCTTCTTTCATTCAACATTGTGTTGTGTAGTTGTGTGTAATTATGTTTCTTAATTTTTATTGTTGTATAGTGGCATTCTGTTATATGAATTTACTACATGTAACGTATCTATTAATGGAAATCTGGTTACTTCCAGTTTGGGGCTATTACGATGCTTGAAATATCTTGTACACTTCTTTTGGTACCCATGTGCTTGAGTTTCTTCAGAGTATAGACTGAGGAATGGAATTGCCTGTCAGAGAGTTTGTATATCTTTAACTCTACCAGATAATGCCAAACTATTCTTCAAAGTAGACGTCAAAATTTACATCCCACCAGCCATGTAGACGGTGCCCATTGCTCTATATCTTTGCCACAGTGTGTTACTGTCAGACTTTTAAATTTTTACTGACATGATTGGTGTGGAGTAGTATTTCATTGCGGTTTTAATTTGTATTTCCCTCTTAGTAATGAGTTTGAGCACCTGTCGGGTGTTTATTGGTCAGCTGGATTTCCTCTTAGTGAAGGGGCCCCCTCAAGTTTTGCTCACTTTTCTAATGGGTTGCTTGTCTTTATTTTGTTACTTTGGAAAGTTTTTTTATATTTTGGATATGAGTCCTTTGCTGGTTGTATGTGTTGAAAATAAATTATACTATAAAATCACACACATTGACGATTTATTGATTACGGTATTTTTAAATTCTTTACCTGAATACTAATAAGTAAGTAGAAACAGAGTAATTAGAAAAAACAAATAAGTATTATACATTATTTCAAATTAATCCTGTCCTTCCCCTCTTCTCTCCAGGTGTTATTATTGTCCCCAGTGCCGGCGTTGGTATTGTCCTGGGAGGCTACATTATAAAAAAATTGAAACTTGGTGCAAGAGAATCTGCAAAACTCGCAATGATCTGCAGTGGTGTGTCTTTGCTGTGCTTTTCAACCCTGTTTATTGTTGGATGTGAGAGTATTAATCTAGGGGGCATAAACATCCCTTATACAACAGGGTAAGTACCTTGGCAGAGCCTTCTCACGTCCACCTGGTCATGCTGTAAGTGCAAAGCCCTGTGGTGTTTCTATCTCAGGGGCAGACTCGTGCCCGCCTCTCCAGGCGAGTCTCACGGTGCGTGCTTCGTCTCTCCAAGCAGAGCACGTGCTCTTGGAGGGCAGAGGCCACGTCTCTCCTCTGTCTGGATCCCTTTTGACTCTCACAGAGTGTCTTCCATGGCATTTTAATTACCGCAGATGAGGAGGAAAGGCTTGCTGGGTTAATGAAAACAGTTCTTCTTCTCTTTTTTGAATGTAACAGTTTGAATAGGTAATACATTCACATAGTTTAAAGACAAAATTCAATGAAAATACAGTGTGTAGTGAAACTTCTTGCCCTTACCCAGGTCCTCCACCCCACTTCGCCAACCAAAGACAAACCAGGTAACCACATTCATTCACTTCCCATGTATCCTTTAAGGTTTCTTTGTATAAGATTCTATGAACATGTATTTTCAATTTTCCCTGTTTTTTTTGGTCAAAAAATAGCATTCTATACATACTTTTCTGAGCTTTTCTTTTTAAATATAACAATATAGCTTGGAAATCTTTCTGTACCAGTAATAGTAATACGAAACATAGCTAGCCCTTATATTGACACTACTGCATGCCAAGCATTCTTCTAGACGCTTTACATGTATTAACTCATTAGTTCTCACAACAATCCTACCAGGTAGGTGTTATTATTATCTTGATTTTACAGATGGCAGAACGGAGGTACAGATCACATGTAACCAGTGGTATGCTGATAAATATGTAACAAATGGCTCTTTAAAAAAAAAAAAAGCCCCAATCTGTAGCATTTGCTAATTTCCGAGGTATAAATAGTCCCACCTTGGCTGATTTCAAGCTACCAACGTGGAGACACTGAACACTGAGTTGGGAGGAAATGTCCATCACACACCATTATATAGTATTTCCATCATGTGGATATAACAGACTTCAGTAGCCTAGTCAGGAGCATAGAGAGTTGTAAAGTGTAGTAAAATAATTAGGAGGTGATGAGTTTTGAGTATTTATCTGTTTTTAATATCATTTATTTAACTGTAAGTTTATATAATTTAGTTTTTAAAGATTTTATTTATTTTATTTTTTCCCCCCAAAGCCCCAGTGGATAGTTGTGTGTCGTAGCTGCACATCCTTCTAGTTGCTGTATGTGGGACTTGGCCTCAGGATGAACGGAGAAGTGGTGCCTCGATGCGCACCCGGGATCCGAACCCGGGCCACCAGCATCGCAGTGCGCGCACTTAACCACCAAGCCACAGGGCCAGCCCTAATTTAGTTTTTAATAATGGCTGTGCTAAACAAGCAGTTGGCAAAATCCCTGAAAATTTAATAGTAGGATTTTGTGACCCAGGGTGGCTGTGCTGCATGTTACCCAGGACTTAACCCGGACTAAACCCCAAGCAACTTACAGAGTCCGTGCCCTTAGCTCTCCTTTTAACCACTGTGTAACATTCCATTTAATTCTATTTCATAATTTAACTAGTCCCCATTTGATGGGCAGTTGGGTTATTTCCAATCTTTAATTATTAAAAACAATTCTGCGGTAAATAACCTCATGCATATATCACTTCTCTTTTGTGCTGTGTATTTGTAGAATAAATTCCCAGAAGTGGGATTGCAATCAATATGGTCAAATTGCCTCCTCAGCTGTTCTACCAATTTATATCCTCCCAGCAATGGATTTGAGTGTCGATTTCCTACCGCCTCGCTGAAAGAAGGCAGAAAACTCTTCTTTGAGAGTTATGAAAATCTTAACTTTTATTTATTGAATACGTGTGGGTTGGTTAGGATCTGCTCATTGGACAGAACTTTAGTGCCTAGTTTTTGGTGCTTGATGTCAACACACACTGTTTGTTTTTGATTCTTGGTGGAGTTTTATGTTATGAAATGTTCCAGGTGAAATTTGAATAATAGTAAGCTTTAATTTCATTTAGCCAATCTAGAATATTAGAGATTAAAAAAAAAAAGACACTACCAATCAGAGCTTCCTTAGATGACAGAATTCGGCCATTTGTCCAGAGAGTTCTCTTTCCACCAGGAGATGTTGTGTGTGCATGGGATGCATGTAGAGGTGTGTGGCCTCTTGACAGTGCCTATTAGAGTGGCATAGGAAATAAAATCTTTAAAAATTGAGGGATAGTATGGAATAAGAGCTCAGGTTCCTGAGTCACATCTGAGTTTGAATCTTGACTCTGCTTGACAAGTTGCTTAACTCGAAGCCTGAGTGTCCTCATCTGTAAAACAAGGTGATAATAATAGTGTTTTAGTCCTTTTGGCCTGCTGTAACAAAAATACCATAGACTAGGTGACTTAGAAACAACAGAAATTTATTTCTCACAGTTCTGGAGCCTGTGAAGTCCAAGATCAAGGCGCAGGCAGATGTGGTGTCTTGTGAGTACCCCCTTCCTGGTTCGGAGATGGCTATTTTTTTTGCTGTGTCCTCACACGGTGAAAGGGATGAGGCATCTCTCTAGGGTCCCTTTTGTAAGAGCACTAATCCCATTCACGTGGGCTCCACCCTCATAACCTAATCACCTTCCAAAGGCCCCACCTCCTAATACCATCACACTGGGGCTTAGTTTTCAGCATATAAATTTTGCAGGCCCCCAAACATTTAGTCTGTAGCAATAGTAATCACCTTAGAAGGTTGCAGGTGAAGATTCCAGAGTAACACATGTGAAGCTCTCAGCTTTATGCCTGGCACACAGTAAGTGCTCATCGAAAGTTAGCTATTTTCATTAATCATAACCAATAAATTAAGAATAATTTATATTTCTATCACATTATTTTTATTACAATTGGAAAATATAAATAGAATTAAAAAGTTAGTAACAAAAAAACCAGCAGTCTCCTGAATAACCCTACTTCCCAGGGGCAATGATTTTTAAATTCTTTTTAGCTGTCTCTTCTGGTATTTACTTCTATATTTTTAAGGCATAATATATAAATTAACCAAATTGAGACATTATTTATGACTTCTTATCTTGGTAAATGAGGTTCAGCCTCATCTTCACGAGTCTTGGTCAAATCCTTTTTTGACATTTTCTTGTTACGATTATGACAGTATTGTTAGCTGCTGAGGCACAAGTAGTGTAATTGATTAGATTTTCTCTTTTGTGCAACATTGATTTTCCTGGAATTAATAATTGCCTTATTTTCATTTTCCTTTGTTTTCTTTGACTCTGCATCTAGCTTACCACATGCTCTAAGGGCTCAAAACATCTCAATATGATTTGTCACCTGTCCAATGAGTGCATGGTTCCATTTCCCACCCCTTCAAGTCATCTATATGGGAGTGCTAGTTCCCTGACCTAATCTGGACATGATGCTCTCTGGGCCTGCTGTCCAGCTGTCATCCTGGGAACCCCATTAGCCTCTCTCCATATAGATCCTTTGTTTTCTGGACTCTGTGGATGTTTCTTTTTTGGTTTACTCCCTCATTTTGTTAGAGCACATCCTCCAGTAGCCACAGGAAGGCTGTAAAGGCTGTGACTTTTTCTTTGGAGACTTTTCATGAAATAGCCTTTTTGTTTTAAACTGTTACATTTGATTGCCAAGTTGACTAGGTAAAGAATTTTGGATGAATCATTTTCACTCAGAATTTTAAAGTTTTTCCTCCATTGTCATCTAATTTCTAGTGCTGTTGTGGGAAGTCGGGCCTTTCTTTTTCCCAATCCTTTGTATTTGACCTATTTTTCCTTCCTGGAAGCTTCCGTATATTCTTGGTATTCCCAGATTTCGCCATGATATATTCTGGGGTTGGTCTGTTTTTTTCCCCCCTGATTATTTAGTGAGCTTTTAATGTCTGGAGACCATGTGCTTCAGTTTTGTTTTTATTTTTTCTTTAAATTTTGTTATTTTCTCCCCACCATTTTTTTTCTCCTTCCTTGACCCTCCACTTTTGTTATTCTTTATTACCTAGTTTATATCTCATATTTTGGGTCCTACTTTTTTGAAAGATTTCTTTAAATTTATTTTCCCAGTCTTTTGCTGAATTCTTTATTTTGGCTGTTGTATTTTTAATTTCCAAGGTTCGTTCTTGATTTTTGATTGTTCCTTGCTTCTAGCCTTCTTGCTTCATGGGTGGAATTTCTCCAACATTATTTAGAGTTTCCTTTCCTTCCTGAATTGTCTCTGTGTCCCCTGAGTGACTACTTTCTATTTATTTTGCTGTCTTGATTGTGTTGGAAACTTCCCTCACATTTGTGGCGATCCTTAGCTTTCTCTTAGTATTGAAGGATGTGAATTTGAAAAGCTGAGGGGGTGCTCCGTGTCTGAGGGTAGGGTTTGTCCTTTGGTGGATCTCGCTGTAGGGTAATTGAAGGAGGGAACAGCTGACGTTTTCCTCGGGGCTCTCAGTGTCAGTTGAGGTGCTTCAGTTCCTCAGGAGAAAGATTCTCCTGTTTCTTGGCCGGGGCTGGGTTGGGGTGGGTTCAGAATCTTAAGCCTGGCTGCTGGCCTTCTGGAGCTGGGGGTGGAGTGGTGGTGGGAAGGGGCCTGGTCTTACTGTTCATATTGCAGACTTTTACCTAATCCCCCATCATCATTCTAGCATCTTGCCAAAGGTCTCCTGTATGTGCGGTGCTCTTAAGTCCAGAGACTTGGGTTCATTTTCTGCAGAAAATAAAGCGGTAGAGGAAGGGGTAGTCACCTGTTAAGTAGAATAGGGATGGGAATCTGCTCAAAGTTAAATCACATTTGGACCACAGCTTTCTTGTGTTGTTTGTCCTTGAGTTCCAAAGGCCTGTTCTTTCCCCTACTCTTGGCCTGTATCATGACCATGTATTTTTTTAAGTTCTCAATCAAACTTTCTGTTTTATTGACTCCTTCTTTTTCCTGTTGCTCTCTATCCTTTACTTCAGTTGGACTGGTTGCTCTCTTGGCATAATTTATATCCCAGAACTTCCTTTCATAGACCTCAATATTGTATCCACTGGTTTTTGTTTGTGTGTTT